ACGACCACGACGACGATGACGACGACCCGCAGGTGGTCGTCCTCGTCGTCGGTCAAGCTTTCCTCCCTCTACACAAGGCAGACCATCAGGATGCCTCGAGGTCATCTTCCCGCTTCCGCTTCCGTGATGTCTCCATGGCATAGCAGGTGCAAGTCAAGAGAGATTCGAAGAACTGCAAGCGTCTCGAGATGACATGGGGCATGTAAAACTTGATCAATCGAGCGGCCTGCCCTCCGGGAAACTGTTATATACGTGATTCCAGTTGTATTGATGTCCTTGTGAACATTGCTGAATAGCAACTGTTGCTATGATCGTCAGTCTGATGATCTGCAGGCTTATCCTGCTCTGGCGCTTGCCATGTTTGGTATGTCATTTTGCTTGTTGCGTACTCTTCCCTGTCTACTTCGATCTGGACCAACCGCTAGGCCGATAGGCCAAACTTTGCAGGAGACCATCATGTTCTAGCCTGAGGCTGTGCCTGAGCCATAGACCCCGGGGCAAGGGTGATGTTCGAATCTTGTCAAAAGGACCCGGACCCCTTCTCGTATACCTCCTTTTCCTGGTTGCAGTCCCTTTGTCCCAATATAAGGACCTGCAAAGGTAAGTCGCTTGCCGTCTCGAGATTTGCACATGCCAGGCCATTCGTCTTTGCTGGACCAGAAACAAATCAGCATCACCGCCAAACCCTATTCTAAACATTAAGGAACCTATAGCTATAGTACATTCAGAGAACGTGGGAAGTCAGGGGGCCGTTGAGATTCGAGGCATTGCAATCCATTTGCTTCGGGTGCAGGGGTTTACATTCTGGTTGTGTGGAGGTTCGACTTGGGGTTGCGAGCAAGTCTGGTTCTTGAGCAGCAGCAGCAGCAGCAGCAATTAGGGTTTAGGGTTTCGGTGTTTAGCAAGCTCGCCATTAAGCCCCAATTCGCTCCGCTGAAGACACCCAGCAGACCCTGCTGACATCTTCTCTCTACCGAGCCCCCGGCGCTGCAGGGACGCCGAAGCCACTCGGAGAGCCTCCGGGGCGTCGGGACGGGCCCTGACTGGGCTGTCCAGGGGCTTTGCAATGGACTTATTATTCATAAGGTTGAAGAAGGCTGTTTAGGAGCACTTGAAACTCTCGGGACTGCTTGTTTGGAAAGGGTCAACGGAATTCATTCGTTGTCATACCGTCATAACATCGTACTCATAGTCGTGGTAAAGCTAGCAGCAACCATCGCAAGCATGCTCGGCCGAAGGACCAACTAACAAAATCAGCCAGACCTCATACGGTTAAGTCATGCTTGCTCGGTAGTTATATCCATCGAATCAATCTCCAGCATATACCAACTGTGGTCACATCATCGTCAGCATCAGGACAATGTTCAGCTCCATCATTGCAACTGCCAAGGTGTTGCCGTTATTATTCGTCTTGTTGTTCAAAGGTGTGCAACGGCATGCCGAAGTTCAACAGGAATCTTTTCACAACACACGGCCACAACAGTCACGATCAGAAACTCGGGCGGCGGGTACTGCAAGCCAAGCACGAGGCATGATCGTCGACAGGATCAACAAAGGCATAACAAACAAGTTCTGACGAAGCAGCCCTTGCGCAGAATATGATCCTGGCACGGAGGAAACACGACAAGAGTTAAGTCGTGGGCATGTGGTCTTATCCCTCAAGCTGAAAAGTTCACAGAAATTCAACATGAAAACGCAAAAACAAGTAGTCCCGACTTGATAGCAAGCATCCTGCACAGAGTCTGAAAGCTCCAAAACTAATGACACCCCGATACCCCTTTGTGTCTCTAGGAATACTGTTCTACAATCACAAAAGCCCCTTATTCCCCAATGGGTAGTTGTCAAAATTATGGTCCCTGTTGCGGTACCCAAAATAATAGGTGCCGTATTATAATAAAGACTCAAAAAGGGACCATAATTTTGACAACCACCCCAATCGAATTTCGAAAGGCCCCTGTACTACCCTCGCAAGCCTCAGAAGCTGCTTGGCCGCCTCGCTGGAGCCTGTCGGGATAGTCGGGTTGACGTTTAGGGTTTAGGGTTTAGGGATAGTCGGGTTGACGCTTGGCGGGACCAGTTGAGAATGCTGCAGCTTGTGGAGATTATCTGATAGGTGGAGTATGTGTAGACATGTATTGACATATCTAACCATAGTTGCATGCGCGCCGCATGCGTGACACACGCAGTTTTTCGAAGACTAAGACGGATGCCGGGCTCCTCCCGTGGAGGAGGGGTCCCGACATTGAGCGTTCACTTGCACATCTGCGCCTGATCTTCGATGCAGTTTCTTGGAGTTCCTGCTGCAAGCTGCAAGGATCAGAGCGAATGTCAATCTCACAACGGTGCCGCTGGAAGGATAGAAAGATTGCACAGCTTACTTCACGATGAACTCTGCTAGAGCCAACACTGCGATAAGACATGCGTGCAAAACAAGGAAAAACAACGAGCAAGAACACAACAGTCTGGAGTCGCGGCTGTCTGCCCAGGATGGATTCGAGGTTCAAGGTTTCCAATGTGGGAGTTCAATCCTTGTGCATGTGTGTGTGTGTGTGTATCTGCGTCCGGCTCGCTGTTCCGACTTCCAAGTCCCAGAAACGGTGACAGGTGGAGCTTCAGGCTGCGGTAGGCTACACAGAACGTCAAGGACGATGAAGGAGGCGGCGATGGTGATGGTGAGCGCCACGCGATGACTATTATCGCAATCGCGGTGAAGATGACGACAACGACGGGAACGATGATGATGATTATGGTGGTGGATATGGTCATGATCACGATCATGAACATGGTCATGATGATGAGGATGATGATGATGATGGTGATGGTGATGCCAAAGAAGTTGGGCATCGTCTTCAACATCATCATGCCCAGGCTGTGACACTGACAATGCTGACGAGGAGGATGCCGATGACGATGACAACGACAGTGATGAAGTTTGTGCGGATGAGGAGAATGCTCATGGTGATGGTGCTGCTGATGATGATGGTGATGATGATGATGTTAATGATGATGACGACGATGATGGCGATGACGATGACGATGACGATGACGATGACGATGATGATGATGATGATGATGATGATGATAATGCTGATGATGGTGATTATGATGGGGATTGGGCGGAGGGGAGGAGAGGAGGAGGAGGAGGCGGCGAGGAGGACGACGGCAACGAAGACAAGGATGACCACAGTCACTGCGACTTGTCCTGCTGAAGCTTCAGCGCAGAGTGCCTCTGGACAAAAGCCGTTGCCTTGCGATGTTCGCACAGAGCTTGCTTGGCTTTCTTGGTTGTTGGGCTTCGGACACACTGTTCAGTGGGCACCACATGAACCTCACATCCGATTCATCACTGTGTCAGCTTCGAAACCGCTGCCCAGTACTGTCCCAACTCTGAACATCCCACAGACCCCTGGAGCAAAGCTGGACAGGACTTCCGAGACCGCGATGTTGCTCACAAGTGCACGTGCCCGAAAGGAGCTCCCAATCCCAATAGAAGTGGCATTGCTATGTTACACCTCGCCTCTGCCCATGCCTTTGGAGCTGCCTCCCACATGGCAGAGGATGTGAAGGCTTTGGGGTTTTGTGCATTCGTTGGTTTTTGCGCTTCGGATTGTTCTGGTCCACAGCCCCACAGCTGGTGAATGTTGTTCTCCACCGAATGGATGCCAGGGGAGAGTTGGACGAGGCCCGAGGCGAAGGACCCTGTGGGACGCAGCAAAGACTCCTGGAATGCACTTTCCGGCTCAACCAACGTTCCTGTCTTGGAATGTCCAACCCCAACCCTGAAATTTCGAAAGCCCATAGCAACAACATCAAGCTCGACGAAGCAATAGGTCTTCGTCTTCGGTGCGTGGGTGGGGGGTATCTTAGGGGTCATCCGAAGATCCTGCCCGCAGCTTCTTCTCACGCTCGACGAGGTGGTGCCTATGTCCCACCGCGCCACTTTGGACCGCGGACCACCAGCAGTCACTAGCAGCTACTTGGAACTCCCGGGCCGTCCTTGCTTCTTAGTTCCTCATTACACCTGTGTATTCAATGTGCAAGGCATTTGGTCTACGATAGGTGATGCTGGATGCCACAACCTCAAACCTCAAGGTCATGAACCGACCTGCTCTGGGCTGCATTTTTCTCCGCCACTGCCCCTACAACTCCCAAGACGGCTGGCTTCCCCTCTCAGATACCGGGCAAGTCCTCAACCCTAAAACAACATGTAAATCTCCAACAGCCCTGAAAACGCCGCATGGCACCATATAGACAAAGCCCTGCAAATCTCTCGCAGGGCGATCATGAACCCGAAACCCTCATCCTAAGTCTAACCCACCCAATGAAAAGCTCGGCCCGGAAGAGCTCAACATCGCCACTTTCCACAAAAGAGTTTGGTGCTTCCCGAGTGCTTGCATCTGTTAGAGGAAAGATCCGACTAGGCAGGCCATTGACAAAGGAGACTAGGCATCCGGGGCCCATATGTCCGATGACCGTACATATGATTCCTGCGCGGCAGTACGGTGCCAGTAGGAGAGTTTGCGTCGGGACCTAAGATGGGGGCTGGTTGATATGAATTTGGATACCGTTTAGCAGCTAAGGCCAACCACTGCTTAGAGCAACCCGCACGTACAGATTTTAGGGCTGAGGCTTACCAAGTTCAGGGCTGTGTTGAGCCTTTCGCTTCGAGGATTTGGGTTTGGGTTAGGGGTTCATTATGCTGGTAGAGGGTTTGCAGTTTAGGCAATGCTGCCAGGGTGTGGGATGTCCGGTTCCAAACGGGGGTTTCCGAAAATAGGGGACCCTAATATAGTACCCTGAATAATAGGATCCTTAATATAAGGACCCCCAAATAAGGTACCCCCCCTAAACCCTAAACCCTAAACCCTAATTTTCGGAAACTCCCAAACATCACTGCAAGATCTCGGAGCCTGGGAAGCTTCAGCCTGGTGCCTGCACCACGGGGTCGCAGGTTCAAAGGGCACTCTCAGCCCTAAGATCTTAGGGTTTAGGGTTTAGGGTTTAGGCCCTTAATTACTATTTGCTATGAAACTTCTTCCAAAGCCTACCTAGAGATGCTGTGCCACCAGGAGAGGTCTCCAGTACCCAGACCCAGGGATGCTTGGAGCGACTCCTGTCCACTTGTACCTGGACCCCCAGTGCAGGCAGGCCTTCAAAGACCTCCAAAGGGTCACTGGGCAGCTGGGTTCAAACGCCCAGCCGTCGGGGGCCGAGCGGCCGCAAGATGTGCCGGAAGACCGGCCGCTCCAACCCCCGGATATAAGCTTCTAGGGCTTGAGGTTTACATGTTGATACTAGCAGAAGCTTTGCATCAGACGTTTGGTAAGATGCTTCAGCAGTCATTACAGTCTGCTGTGCAGGCTTTGGTTTTTGTCATCGTCTGTGTGGTCAACGGCTTACAGGTTTAGACCATCGTCTGACGGTAACCAGCCGAAACCTACGCCCTCTAATGCCCCGCATTATCTTAGACCTAAGAGTCTGGAGTATTCGTACTCTGCATCTGATACGGGAGATGCAGAACATAAGGACCTGAAGTAAACACCCAAAGAATTGGATCCTTAGTTCCGGAACAGCACCCAAGAAAGGGCTCCTTAAGTTTAATCATGTCATTTGCGAACTGCACATCGAATCCTAAGGTCCTACGTCGTGTCGCGCTCACGAGGCCTGATGCTCGTCAAACGATCAGGCTTGCGAAAGATCGACTGCTGGGTCCTTAGACGCATGGTGATCCATGTTCGGGCTGCGAGGTCCTAAACCCTAAACCCTAAACCCTAAAGGGCCTTCGGGGCTCCAGGGCACGCCGAGCTCTGCAGTTCTGGATTAGTTTGTTCAGGAGGGCTCATCTTCAGACTTCGACGACTTCAGGCTTCCGCGCCTGGGGGTCTTCGGCATTTTGGGGGTACCGGCCTTTAGGAATGATTAGGACTGAGTAGTACCACTAACATTCATAAGAATATTCGTATCAATATTACAGTAATCAGTAGAAAACCTACGAGTTGGGATGAATCCCAGTCTACTCGAATCGTTCGTATCTTGTCACATGTAGTGATGCATTCAAAGGCCTCGCCCAGGGTTTAGGGTTTAGGGTTTAGCTTCTTCCTTACAGCGGAGGCTCCCTCGTGCACCCAGTGGAGAGTTGAAGCCAGCTCGTCCCAGAGGTTACATTTGGGATCCCGCGGGAACAGGTCGTCCGGGTAGCGGTTGTCCTGAGTGCAGGGATTGCAGCCCTGGATGCCCAGAACTTTGCTTCAAATTAAAACATCACTGCTCTTATCAAGTCTTCTGGACACTATCCCTTCAGCCGGAGGTCAGCCAGGATCTCGTGAACCTCCGGGCCTTGGTGGCACACGCAGGGGTCGGGGCGGCACAGGCATCTGTGTGCAGCACTGACTGTAGTATGTTGAAAGCCCGCCGTCTTAAACACAAATTTGCTTCCCAGCAGCGCCCCTTCAGGTCGTAGAAGAGCCGCTGCGTGGCATGAAACCGGGGCCAGTCAGAGAATTCTCGGTTGATGACCTGTGCGACCGCACGCTCTAGGCCGGGGGCTGTAGAGTAGTGCCAGTAGATGATGCGGTAGAACCAAGAAATGGAGCTGTGGGCTTTCACAGCTCGGGGTCGGTGTTGCTTGACCCGAGCACGAGGTCCCCTAGCCCCAAACACCGCGGGCCTCGCATCCTGGAGGCCAGCGGCTTTCGTCCACACCCCCTGAGACAGACTTAGGGGCTGAGTACCCTAGCCCAAAAAAGGTTAACCTTTTCAATTATGGTAGGAGTATGTAGACCCCAAAAGGTTAAAGGTTACCTACTCAGCCACTAAGCAGAGGGCCATCAGGGTTCTTGAATTCTTTCGGTGTTAGAGCTCAATCTGCCAAGCCCTTACTGTCCTGACCGGCCCGAATTCCAACCCCGAGCACCCTGAGAAAGTTCTTAGGTGTGGGCTATGGACCTTGACTACACCCTACTCCTCGAACCTGGGACCAAGCCCCAACCAGGGAAACAAAAGCACCAGCTTGCAGAAAAGCGCTCACAAATCGCTGCATCATCGATCCGAGTTGACACGGTCGACGATTCTTGCTGCCATCTAGCCACCATTGGGATCTAGCGCATAGGCAAAGGACGTCCACTTGCAGCTGATGATGTCCTTGGCCATCCGGTTGTACATGCAGCCCTCAATGACTTACATGGTCTTTGGGACTTGTGTGCAAACTATAAGGGCATACTGGATACTATTGCTATATTGATGTTCAAGATCACATACGTTTCGAGTTTCAGGTCCGAGGGAACTCGCCTCGTTGCTTTTGTTTTTTGGTTTTCAACGGCAATGATCATGACAACTGCTGTGGCCTTGGTCAGCAGTGTCTACATATAGTCCATCCCCGACCAAACACCTTTCCCAAGACCTGATACAGCCTCTTTTCGTGCTGACCAGGAATACAAAGGTTCAGCTGTGGGACGTCTAGAGGCCTCTGAGGCTGAAAGGATGCCCAATATTTCAATCAATCCCCAGTTCTGCGCCGATCCAAAGCAAGGGACGGCCATGTGCCGCGGGGAGTGGAACGGATCGATCGGCTTGATGAATTCCAGCCAATTCCGGAACACCTCTTTGAAGCCATCTGAGCTCTGGGTCTTCAGTTGCCTAAAAAAGGTTACCAAAAACGTACCGTAAAGGTACGATTATGGCGACTGCAAGGGGAAGTGTACGGGAAAAAAACGGCAGTGTCAAGGGAAACATCGTACAATGCGTTTGACAAGACTTCACCGTGCACGCCAAGAGCCCAAAACCTCTACACCATAAACCCTGTGAGCGATAAACCCTAAACTAAAACAACGGAAAGTACACCATTGCCACCAGTCAAGCCCGAAGCCGTGCACGAGCATCAAGGCCAATCAATTAATGAAGTCAGGAGGCAAAAGGCAGCTCGCTACCGTGGAAGTCTCCCAAGCCGATGATCTTCGCGAGGCCGTAACTGAAGTCGAAGACATACCTTACACTGACATTTGCGGGTTCCGATCATCAGGATTAGTTTTTTGAGGTCATGCATTCGGCCCGTGCCGTTTCGGCTTCCGGTGTCTTCAAACCCGGCCAAGCAGATTCGAGCAGTCGCAGAGATGAGCCCGTCAGAGATTTCAGGCCGAAGACGTGAAGGCGAACAGTTCTCAGGGCCCAAAGCCCTGCACACAAAGCCGGAGCTGCGGGGATCAGACTCCCGACTTCGAGGCGCATACTATCGGGGCTCCAACAATTGCGTGAAACCTGCCTGCTTTGCATTTGCAGAAAAGTGGATGCATCCTCGGCATGGCTGAATGCAATATGTAGCCCTTGCCCCGGGAAAGTCAAGTCAGGGCAAAAGGAAGCCCTCAGTTTGCTCAAGCTCCGCGGAGGGTGGAAGGTGATGCAGTACGATTAGGCTAGGCTACGGCCTAAGCCCGAGATCCCACCAGGGCCGAGTGGCATATAGGCCGGAAGGTCATGCTGGGCCCAAGCCGAAGACAGCGCCCTGCGACTTCTCGACAGCAAGGTTTAATTTGGGCATCATGGTTGAGTTTAGGGTTTAGGGCCGTTTAGGGTTTAGTTTAGGGTTTAGGGTTTGGTTTGGGGTCAAGGGTTTGGGGTTGGGGTTAAGCTTCAGGATGTCGCAGATTTCTCTTGGGTTCCAAGATGCTCGAGACAGACAGTCTGTCAAGTGATTCCCATCGTGATCTCCCCACCGCGATCATGAGCAGCACTCGTGCTATTGAGGATCATGTGGTAGTGTAGTTATTGTCGTCATCGTCATCAGCTCTACGTACTTAGCATCACAACCTCAAACCTGGGCCGCAAACTCTTGACGGGAGCCAGGTGGAGAACTGGGATCTGTGTACCGACGAAAGCCTGGAAGAGGAAACCACTATACTTAAGGGATGCCCGCACTACTTCGACCCAAGCACAGAATGTACCTGAGCCTGGCCTCAATGGGCACATGAACATCATGTCGCGGATCATTCGCTTCATCATCTCGTCACCGTCGCCGCCAAACTCCTCGGCGGGCAGAGGGGGGGGAAGCGGAAGCTTGCAAGAGCCTCTTAAGTTGGTCTATGGGGCCGTCCAGCCAGCTGAGGGCCCCACACTCTCTTGGTAGATGGCCTCAACCTGGGTGACATTCCTCAGAAATCAAGCTGGACATGCTCAGAACGGACATCTGACCATCACTACCAGCCCCGCCGGCATGATCTTAAGAATGACCACTATCACATGCTCGTTTCAATCGCTAGCATCATACCCACCCATCCATCCATGAACCATCAACATAGTTACATCATTGTCAACTTCACATACTGTAAGGTGACACGGCATGGCTTTTCCACTGCTACACGTTTCGATGAACTCTTGAGGCGGTGGAGAGGTCTGTGAGAATATCCCAGACGGCTGTCCTAACTACTGCCAAGAAAGAGCCAGATGCTGGGACTTACGTATATTGTCTGGATGCTTCTGGTATGAGGCTATAGGACAGGGGATGTAGGGCAGAGAACCCTGTCTGCTATCTAAACCCTAGTTCCTGCAGACCCGGACCCGTCAGCCGCAAGCCCTGCATTTCAGCCCTGAACCTCGCCAGACCTTACAGTATAAGGGTCTGACGAACGAGTACGAAGGAACGATAGTTCTTGCAGAATAAATGAACCCCCAACACCCGATTCCAACCCGTGAGGCCCCCTACATGAACCCACTAAACCCGACACCTTCTCAACGGAAGCCAGCCAAGTCGCTCACGAAAGAAATAATGCAGGGCCGCCCCCAGGGTGGCCGGGTGCCGCTTTACGGGCAGCTGGGCTCCTGGGAGAACCTTTCAGGGTTTAGAGGTTTAGGGTTGAAGGGCAGAGGTTCAGTTCAGGGTTTACAGGTTAGGATTTACGTCGGCCTTGACGCCTTAATCAGCTGTTAGGGTATGGAACTTCAAGGCCTTTATGGTTGCTGCGGGTTCTACGGCTTCAAGATGCATAGGCTTTGCTTACACGAGCTTCGAGAAGATCTGGACCAGAAAACAGCACAACAGAAGGAAGGAGTCAGGAGGGACCTTTCGGAGACCCAGCAGCCCCCGTTCAAGGGCCGCTTGTCAGTTGTCTTTCTGCCCTATTGTTTACCACAAGGCCCGGCCCCTGCAACACCTCACCCCTGAGACATTCTTGCAGCTGTTGGAATGTCGTCAGCATTGCTTGAAAGCGCCTTCCGGGCCTCTGTGAACCAGTGCCAACTGCGTTGGCTACCCCACATGCCTGCGTGATACCTCTCCTTCAGGGCCTGTGCCCCGCACTCCTTTCAACCTTTTCCACCCATACCCTTTCCACAAATTGCATCCGAGCCTTCATTTCCAGCTCAGGATCTAGGGACCAAAAACGCCGAAAGGGGTTAGCTCTATCGTGTCCACGCCCCTATATTCATCATGTTCCAACGCTGTCGGTGCTCGTATATGAGCAGTTCGAAGGCTCAAAGATTGGAATGCCTGGATGTTAGGATGTTAGATTTTGGGGCCGGCCTAGGACCGCCGGAGCATTGCTCACCCACTGTAAAAACACAGGAGGGCCTCGGGCAGCATGTCCTCGAATATGGAGCCACCGTTCCTGACTCAGCTCCACACGACTCGGGAACCCCCAGTCTATCCATACGTGCACGAGGCCTGATAGCAACACGCCACCTGTACGGACTCGGGAATGACTGCCCCCCATCAATGAAAGGCAAGCCGCTCATTGGCCCCTAGGAGGAGGGGCACCTTGTTGAAGGCACCACGCTGGACAAGCCTTTCCGGCCAAGTTGAGACTCGGAGCCACAAACCTCAAACCCAACCCTTATGTCTGTGGTTCATGGCTGCTACGATGATGATGAGGACCCGGAGGATGACGCGATGACAGATGATGGTGATGATGATGATGATGATGACGATGACGATGACGAGGACGAGGATCACGATGACGAGAAGGACGAGAAGAGAAGGACATTTCGATGATGACAATCGTGACTCTCCCCAAGACGGCTTTCGGATTTAGGACTAGCCCTAGCTAGCAGTCCTCCCAGCCACATCACGGAGCAACCCGCGGAAAAAAATGAAAAACAAAGCTTCAAACCCTAAGCATTGATCACACCCAGCAGCTTTGCTGCTACTGCTATAGCTGCTGCTGCGGCTACGGCTACCGGGTACCAATCGTTACTGTAACGGCATCAACAACCAGCACATATCATCGTACAAAAGCCAGGAAGCATGCCCCTAAGCTAGAAAAACCAAAAAACCGTAAAGGCCCCTGAACACAAAACTGTGAACCTGCCTGATGGGTATATCCGCCAGGCCGTCCTGCGTGCCATCAATAGCTGGGCCTGAGCTCCCAGAAGAGAAGACTTCTGTCGTAATGCAGGGGCCTTAGTAGTTAGAATCGGGTGTTGGGGCCCTTATACTATAATTACAATAAGGAACCCCCAAAATAATGTAGGTAATTGTTTAAGCCCCTTCATTATTCATTATTCAGGGTATATCGGTATATTGGATTGGATATCAACGTGAACGAAGGTGTTTGAGCGCAGTGCCGCATTGTCAATGAAGCGTGTCCCAAAGTCCACTGGATGCTCACAGGACTGCAAAAGACTAAGAAGGGGTTCCTCGCAGCTGGAAATTGCCCTTTTTGAAACATTCCACTGCTGTGGCCTCGTATTCTTGAGCCATACGGCTTGAAACTTCACATGAGGTGCCAGGCTTCGACCAAGGTTGGACAACTGAAGCGATGGCTTTACAGGAAGCTTTGAACTGGAGCTTGCGTATTCGATGCATCACGACGCTACTGTTGTGCTGTGCAGGGATCATGCAAAACATGGCCCCCTTTCGGAGCATCTTGCCCAAAGCAAAAGCCAGCCCACGAAGCTTCTATGATCTGGGCATTCCCATTCAGTCATAGGAGCCATTCGGCATCAGCGGCCAAAGTGGCGAATGGACGCTGGGACGGTGGCCGTCCATGCCAGCTGGATGGGAGTCGTCTTGGAGACCGTTGCTTTCGGATATCTGTCCCGAGCCTGGGGTTCGAAGGTTCTCGTTTCAAGGGCCTGGCTGGCTTTGAGATTCCGTCGCAGAGTTACTAAGGGCCCACTGTCTTCAAGTTGACAAAGCCCACCGTGTCTCGTGCTTCAAGCAACATGTGCGCCGGGTCCATGCTCCGAAAACTCGCAATTTCTTGCGGAGTCATCCTGCATCATCCTGCCTTAGCATCCCGAAAAGCCTGGAAACATCTCTAAACTCCTTCAACGAGCATGAAGCTTGGGGCCTCTGAAGACGTCCTCTTGCAAGCCCTAAACCGTAACGCCTCGACTCATACTTCCCACATGCTTCGAAAGCCTCGGTTCAGAATCATGTGCATGCAAGCCGACAATGACACAAGCTCATGGACCTGTATGTATCATTCCGTGTGCCCAACGTCCCGAAGCTCTTGCACACCCCAAACTCCCATTTGACGCGAGAACTGAGCCCAGGTTAGTTGGCCCTTTCAACCCCTCTGAAACTGTTCGCAGAAAAGCTCCTCTTAAACCGACGGAAGGACAACTTCCAACATACCTCGCCTGGACAGGAGCTCTTCAGATCCCCATCCCTGCCTTCTACGGCCACCAAGGCCTGTGCTGGCAGTGCCCGGAGGCAGGGCAGCTGGCCGGCTCCCAGAGAGGCCGGACAATGGAGCCTGCATTCCAAGACCAATACTAATCTAGTACCAAAACGAATACGAATACTAATACTAATGCTGATACTGATCCTGATGCTAATATCAATACAACGACTGGTATTTTTATTGGTACGAATACTCTCATGAAAATGAATACCCAGTGATGGGGAACGCCGGACATCTTGTTGAGCTGCAAGGATCGAATCGAAGATGTAGTCCCCATTTCAACCCCATTCCCGTCAATATTAAATTAAACACAAGGACAACCCTGCCGGCCTTCATCAATCATTACATGCGACAGGACAGATGAGCCAACTCCCTTACAAGGGCAGCCCACCTGGCGGCCAGGTCCTCGTAGTACTCCTTGGCCTAACAAGGAGCTACATTTCGACATGCAGTGACGACATGCAGTGCAGCTATGATTGATGACTTGTGTAAGGCTTAACGAGAGTCGAGAGTCAATCTGATGTTTTTAAGCACGTGGCGACAACTGAGGCGACCACGAGGACGACTTACAGACTTGGCCTTCCGGGTTAAATATTGTTCTTCTCCGACGGCTTTTGGAGATGTGCTGGACTCTGTCGTACAGTGCATGTAGGCACAGGCTCGCGTTGGAGTGGAGGGTCCGGGCCTTTGGCCCATTTCAAGAAAACATCCGCGACAAGACGGTAGATGGTGGGTACATTGATCATAATGGCTGTAAAGTTGGCGTAATTCGTTCTACCTGCTTGGCGTGAAGACCGTTGCCAACAGATTCGGAACGTAGCATGCAAAACTCAATCAGTGCAAGCAGTTCACCGGGTCGGTAATCGAAGAACTACACCCTAAACTCTTAACCGTACCCGGATCTGCACTGGTCGTGCTCGAAACTCACCTAGTTCACGAGCCAGAGGTTTTGCCCAGCATCAGGAGTTGAACGAAGCCGAACCAAAAGGGATCGCGGATGTGTGGTCAAACATCGATGCCACTTGTTGCGGCTCCAATAAGACTTGGAGCCAAAGCCATGGTTGCCACACACCCTTCGTTTCACCGCCTGCCGCCCCGGGGCCAGCTCTGGGAAGTGTGAACGGGCTAGCGGCTAAGGGCACGCGATCCCCAACATCGCAGTTGCGACAAGGCAGCTGATACGTGCCAAGCAAATCGACCGGCATCAAATTCACGATGACTCAACACTCTGCCAAAATCCTACGACATTGATAGTTTTCCTGGCGATATGCACGGCCAGTGCAGATTTGCGCGTCAGTAGTGATGGCGGTGGCGGTGGTGGTGGCGGTGGTGGCGGGGGAGCCACAGCGGCTGCAAGTATTGTCGCGAGGCGCGGCCGTATGCTTCGACCCGGATTTCAAACCCCCTGCCGCCACCAGCTTTCCGAATGTCTGTACCGCTGAGTGGGAACAGTATGGTGTTTGCGCAGATTCTGTTGCCTGTGGTGGGCCCAACAGACGGGCTGCACTTTGCGAGAGAGAGAGAGA